TACCAGTCCACACTCCGTATTTTGGGACTTGACTTCTGTGGGACTTGAACATTGTACATTTGATCTTGTATATATATATAGTTATATATATTTTTTGTGCTGAATGTTGTATATGTTGTTTGTATAATATGTCGTTTGTATATCTGGAGTGTTGTAACGAAAATAATTTTTAAAAAAAATAATCTGATCTGATTCTGAACCGGTGACCCTCCGGTTCCTAAACCAAGTCCCTACACACTGAGCTACTGCCACCTAAGTCTGTGAAGTAGAAGAAACAGTTCTCAGACTACTGGAGCAAGAGGATATCAAAAAACAACTTGGCAAGATAAAATCAGACATTAATCTGAAGATGGAGGAGACCGTGAAGAAACTTTAAGTGGTGTCGCAGAGACTGGGGGAAGCCGAGCAACGGGTAGGAGAGGTGGAGACATTCAGCATGGAAGTGAATGAAACTTTAAACCAGATGCAGAGAACTCAACTCGAACTGAAATCAAAACTAACCAAACTCGAGGGGCATTCCCATCCCAACAACATAAGGATCTATGGTATAAAAGAAGGAGCTGAGGGCACCCCGGGGCGGCTGTGGCTCAGAGGCAGAGCGGGTCGTTCCCTCATCGGAAGGTTGTTGGTTCGATCCCTGGATCCTCCTGTCTCATGTTGAAGTGTCGTTGAGCAAGATACTGAACCCCAAATTGCTCCTGATGCTGTGCATCAGTGTTTGTGAATGGATTAGTTTCTGTTTCTGCTGAGCATTTGACAACCTTTGCTATCAGTGTGAGAATAGTTAATTGTGACATTCAGTGATAAGCACTTTGAATGGTTGGAAGACTAGAAAGGTGCTATATAAATACAGTCCATTTACCATTTCTATAATGTAATCCTGGATCAGCCTTATGGACAAATCAGTGCAGAGTATGTTGTTCTGAATGGGTTCATATATATTAGGTCATTAAAAGCTTACTGTCAGACCTTCACACATCTAAAACTGTAGCCTATGAAGAATTGAAGAATTAAACCTTTTGGAAACAAACACTCAATATATACTGACATGAGTTGGTGTCTGGAGTGTACCTCAGTAATAATGATCAGAAGATCAAGTGCAGTAGGTGCTGTAACTGGGTCTGAATAATGGCATAGGTAAAGTCACACATACAGTACACGTGTGCTGGATGAGATAAAAGTCACTGAATAGTGCTTTTAAAAATAAAATCCCTCCCCCCTCCTCTGGAGAAATAAATCTCCACCAAAGGTTTTCCATGGAGGACCTAAGTCTTTGTATTTAAGGACCTATTAACCAGCAGCTTTCAGATCCTAATAGTACTGTTAATTAGTGCGATTGAAGGCTGGTGCAGAGGAGAAGTCAAGCAGTTAAACATATCAAAGTATTAAAAACATATACAGTGCTCCCATTTCTGTTAAGAGATTAATTAGATTTAAAGTCAGTTGGTTTGGTTAAAAACACACTGGACCTATGTATATATATATATATATATATATACTACCAGTCAAAAGTTTTCGTCTGCGAACTTTTGCAAAAAGCGTGACAGGACTCTTGAGTTATATTTTGAAGTCCGACGGTACAGGGGGTGAACAGAAGCCAGAAGAGAGCACAGGTCGCCTTGTGGCGCTCCCGTGCTACTGACCCCAGTGTCCAGACCCTGCAGTCGCCTCCCCAGTCGCAACAATACTGGGGTCTGTCCTTTTAGGTAGTCCATTATCCATGCCACCAAGATGTGAGTCTACTCCCAATGTCTGCTAGTTTTGTATAATTGGCGAAGTTCAAGGCCTGGATGGTATTGAAGGCGGCTGGAAAAGTCCAGAAAATGTAATTCTAGCAGCACCAAAATTTCCCCCTATCCAGGTGAGAAAGGGAAATCATGTGCATGCGGTACACAAATGCGCACCCTCTACTCCCCCACCTTCCTCCCCTGGTAGGCAAAACTGGCCAGTGGTCAACGGGGTGGGCGGAGCCTGGTGGCCCTCAGGTGGTGTAACGCAGCAGGCCGTTTCCAATGGGTCTTCATCACATGTGATGTCTCCTGTACGCATCCCTAAGGCTCGCCTGCTGATCTCCGCCCTTTAAAGGCCCTCTTCTTGCTGGTTAAGAAGGCCTTGACCATGACTTGTAATCCAGGCTTGTTGTTGGCAATAGCACGCGCACGAAGTTTCTTACAGGAACAACGAACATCCATACAGAGGTTGAATGTTATGTCCAGTATAACAGTCAACGCCTCCTCGATGTCCTCAACAAGTGCGAACCTGCAGTAGCATCCGCAGTCCAGTACTACCAAAATAGTCTCTTAGAGGCCCTGCTCTGCCTTCCAAAAAGACCAACTTCCCTGAATGAGCCATTGTTGTGGGTTGTCTCTTCAAACTCTTGGTTTAAGTAGGAGGCCTGAAGACAGAAGTCAGGTTGTGATCAGCTTTCCCCCAGTGCAGGACAGAGGGGGTCGCTTAACGTTTGCATACACTAGTCAATAGTCTTATTTCCCCTGGTTAACAGTTCAACATACTGGACAGAAGCAGGTAGGTGTTGTGTCGCAGAGTCACGTGATTCAAAGGTCCGCCCGAGACGACTGTAACTCCCAAGCCTCGGAGGTGCTGTGTTTCGTTAGTCCTGCTACAGCGAGTGGATGACGTCACATGACCGTAACCGCGTCAGCACGATGGTGGCGATATAAACAACAATGGCGTGTCCAACTCTCCTGGCAAGTAGAGGGTCGCAACCCTACGCGGCAAGCCAGCTCAACCATCCTGTTGGCAGATGAAATCTTGAAATGTTCAACATGTCCAGGGGTTACACAACCGACTTGTGTTCACGGTAATAGCGCTATCCGCCTCCTTCTCCCCGTTCCCACCGGCCATTAGTTGTCTCTGTCCGAGCCGTGACTGTGCTGAAGCTGGGGCGTAGCTCAACGTTAAACGGTCCGGGAACGTTTAGCCGTTAGCCATGTTTCAGTGAAGCACAGGAAACCTGCAACTCCTGTAGATTTTAAACGTTTTTCACCAGCGCAGCCAGTTCGTCGATCTTGTTCTGTAGTGAGTTAAGCATTTCCGCATGATCACCCCGATGGTACAGAGGGTTTATATCAGGGCCACTTCTTCCCGCATTCGGCATTGCGCATTAGCCTTTGCGGCCTTTAACGAGTTATCTACTGTTACTTGTTAAATGCACTGATTTAAACTGTTAATTTTCATGTGAGATGAATATTTAACAAAGTATTTTACAATTAATTAATAAAATACAAGTAGGATACTCCGTTGTAAAGTCCACCGCGTAAATATACAGCAATATCGTTAACAGTGCACATCATGCAAGCCATTGAGAGAAGGCCAAGGGTTTGCAGGCGGCTGTCAATACAAAGCCAAAGGGGGTGGCTACTTTGAGGAGATCTAAAATATGAAAACCATCACTTTAAGTCTATTTCACACTTTTTTGTTTTATTACATAATCTCCCATATGCTGTTATAGTCTTTTGATGGCTTCCCAGCGAGAATCTACAATGTAATAGTCATGAAAATAAAGAAAAACCATTTAAATGAGAAGGTGTGTCC